CTACCACTACCACTGCCGCTACCACTACCACTACCACTACCACTACCACTACCGCTACCACTACCTCTACCACTACTACTACTACTACTACTACTACTACTACTACTACTACTAGTGTGTCGACAGCGTGCGGGAACCTAGAGCAATTATTTGAGCAAGATTGCCAACCAATCGCAGTCCTGGTCTCGCCGACTTGTTTACGTTCTAGGCCAAGATTGCAAGGACCGGGGAAGCAAGATTGCTAGCAATCCTGCACTCTTGGTCTCCAAAAGGTAAACTAGTCGACGAGCAAGTGGGGAAAGGGGCAAGATGACCAAAATCTTGGCAATTTTGCTCCCCACTGACCAAGATTGCCAAGATTACCAAGATGATTCCATCAAACAACTGTTCTATTTTGCCGGCACAATGTACTACTACGACTCCTGCACCTGCTACTGCCAGTGCCACTGCTACGGCTACTGCGACTACTCCGAGGACGACGACTACTACCACAGCAAACACAGCAACAAAATCAACAACGACAAAAACAACTGCCAGGGCTAGTACTGGTGCTGGAGCTGGTCCTGGTACTGGTACTAGCACTAGCACTAGCACTAGCAGCAGCAGCAACAGCAGGAGGAGGAGTAGACACTATAATGACATCATTGCAATATGTAAATATAAAACTGTATACACATTTTGCTGCTGCTACTACTGGTGCTGCTGTTAGTACTGCTACTACTACTACTACTACTACTACTACTGCTGGTGCTGCCACCACCACCACCACCACCACCACCACCACCACCACCACCACCACGACGACGACGACGACGACGACGACGACGAGGACGAATACTACGACGACGACGCCTACTACTACTACCACTACTACTACTACTACTACTACTACTACTACTACTACATCGTCGTCATCACCATCCCTCTACTGCTGCCAGTGTGATGCTGCACGCAAGATCCACAAGGATTCGCACTGCATACATAAACTCTGATAAACTATGCTTCGAAGACGTGCTGCGACACCATGACTCACGGGAAACCTCGCCCGAAAGCAATGAATGTTGCATCATGTCATCAAGCAAGCATGCTCACACATGCCCTGATTCTACACCCGCAAAGTGACTGATGGGATCCATATTCGGAAACTTATTGTGAACCATATCGAACATCCCTGAACCCCAAACCCCACACACCCCCTTCTTATCTTCTTAACATGGCCGTAAAGGCCTGTGAGAGCTGCGAGCTTTGGAGAGGCACCCCCCAGTCCACCATCCTCACTAGGATCTCACAAGTTAGTCTTGGAGCTGCATAATGATAGCGACTGGTGGGTAAGTGATACTGAGTTATAAGTAGCTTAAGGTGCAACTCACACCACTTAGAGCCGCACAGTATGTACCGCGACTATTCGTGCTTTAAGTGTGATTCACGGGCTGCAGGCTTCAGGATATCATGAGCATGACTGGACTTGGAAAGCCGGATCAAGTTGGTTAATAGAGGAGAGCAGCACCTCTGCACTCTGCATCCTGCAAGAAGGGTCTATGGGAGTTGGGTTTAGAGTTGAGTCTATGGTCCTAAATCTAAACCCCTAAACCCTAGACATTAACCCTTAAACCGTAAACCCTAAATCCGAAACCGTCATGGTCACAGACCAAGCCTCTCAGATCGGTTGGCATCTTCTCTTGACAGGAAGACACGAAAGCCGAGAACTCGACTGAGCCCCAATTAACCTAAACCCTAAATCCTAAATCCTATATAGTAACCCCTTCACCCTCAACCCATACTAGTGTTGGTAATTCTTAAGCCCTATAAGCCCTATGTAAGACCTGAAACCCCAAAGCTCCGGAGCCCGATATGCGAGGTGGTTCCTTTTCGAAACTGAGCTCCATGCTGCTGAGTGATCTCGAGCAAGGAGGACTCGGCAAGCTTGGAGATATTCAAGGCTTTGGGCCTTTATGGGTTTAGGGTTCCAGGCCTGTTTTGCGACTCTTCGCCTAGAGCTAAGACTTTGAGACTAGGATGTGAAGGTGCTCGGGTTCAGGAATGGCGTCTGGGACACTCTGATTTTCTGGTATTCCTGTAAACACCCAACATAGGTGGAACCTTCTGAGATCGCCCCTCCAAGTGGTCCAAGCGATCCATTCGCGCCTTCAGCGCCATGACGAAGGCTTGTAGGATGAAGGCCTCCGCAAGCCAGATCAAACAACACGATACCACAGCCTTACCGTAAAGAAGATCCGAAGCCCGGCAGCGCCCTTGAATAGCTCTAGAGTCTAGAGGGGATGTGTCGGTAGACGCTTTGAGGTATGCAAAGGGCCTCCGCCGTAAACCAAAAACTCACAGTTTCTCACTCGGTCATGCGACTCCTTCCCGTCACCCTTTTTGACCTGGCAAGGCCTGAATGAACTCGCCCTCCTCTGCGTTGGCCACGACTCGTCTCAGATCATCAATGTCGCTTTCCTGCATGGCCGTATTCACGGAGCACGTCTCTACACGTTCATGCCCAAGCCCCAAGCCCATGCAGTTGTCGACTTCATGTCACTCCAAGAAACGATGTCGAAGTAGCAGCACCATGTGGCTGCCCAGCACCTACTGCAGTCCTTCACGGCATCCACCAACGCACGAGAAGTGTTGATCGCATCCTCCACAGACCAGTGCTGTCGGCGAGATCACCGATTACAAGCTTCGGGGCACTTGCATAGAGCAGGTTACTACCAAGGCCACTGGTGCATGTCCAGCGGGGGAAGCACTAGACTCAGGTTCGTCAAAGAGCGGAAAAGGTGCTGGCGTTTGCAGAGCTGGCTTATTGTTATTCTTGACAACAATGTTCATACTTATTAGACCGTCAGCAGTCTTGTTTTCTTCTTCTCAATCTGGCTCTTATTCCTACTATTATTGCGATTCCTCAATGGAGAGCAAGCCGGCTCCTGCCATGCAATTGGGTCATCTTCGCGCAGCTTCTCCAAGCGTGCCTGTTGCTCCGGAGGCAGATGTTCTGTTACAACAGTACAGTCTACAAATACGATACTAGACTATACTATACTAGGCCATACTATACTAGAGTTACTATACGATACGTTACTATACTCGTTGTACTGTACTATCCTATGCTATGCTAGGTTATGCTGTGCGATGCGATGCTATGACATGCAAAACTATATCGCATATTTCAGAAAGCGCAGGCAGTGCCTTCGATCTCTGGGTTTCGGGTGGAAGCCCTGTTCTAAAGCCCTTAACCTTAATAACATACATAATATACAGTATCTGGTACGCATTTAATCTACAATGTAACATATAGCAATAGTAATACTATACATAATACCATGTATAATCTATAGCCTTACATCCCCAAAGGGTAGCTCGATTCAGTGGGTGTGTGCCAGCCAGTCTCAGGCTCCGAGGTGCGGCCAAGCGACCGCTTCCGCCTGCACAGAAGAAGTTTCAGGTGAAGGAGTAAGGGTTAAGAGGTTTTGGGTTTTGGGGTTTAAGGGTTTTGGGGTTTAGGGTTTAGGGGTTTAGGCGTTTAGGGTGTAGGGATTTAGGGGTTAGGGTTTAATTCAGTTCCGGACAGGCACTGGCGCAAGGCCAAGCCCCGAAAAGCAAATCCGAAATTGCCTTCCATCTCCTCCAACCCACACAAACATCTTTGTGTATATATATATATACATATGAATAAATGAATGCATATATATATATATACATATGTGTGTATTTACTGTACATGTATATGCATGCATGTATACATGTATGTTTGCCTGCATGCATGTATGGCGGACACATGCAACACTGAAAAAAACAAGGTTTATACACACGCTGACACACACACACACACACGCACGCACAAACTCTTCTTCCCTTGTACGACAATCCCCAAACCCTAAACATCCCTACGAGTACACCCTGCTCATGGCACGGAGTCCTGCGGGTCGTCCTCGAAGGCCAGAGGTGATGCAGCAAACTTCGAGGCTCGCATGGCTGCGCCTGCAGTTTAGGGTTTGGGGTTTAGGGTATCTTTCTCTGCACAAGTCCTTCCTCTCTCCCGCTCTACCTTTGTCTCCTAACCAGCTAAACCTGCAAATGAATACGCAAGTGTGCATGTGCACAAGGCAGATACGAGTAGTACGCACACGCTATTTGTCCATGCATGTTTCTAGATTTTGCACATACATAAACATATGATACCGTGTGTAGTATGTGGTATGCAAACGCGCATGTGAAAGTTCGTTTGCATATATCACGAGAGAGGGAGTCTGTGTGTGTGTGTGCGAGCGTGTGAAAGTGTGAGCGAGTAAGTGAGTGACTGACTGAGCAAGAGTGAAAGAGAGAGAGAGAGAGAGAGAGAGAGAGAGCGCAAGCACAGACAACAAAACATCGAGAAAGAGAGAAACAGATGGAGAGAGAGAGAGAGAGTGCAAGCACAGACAACAAAAGATTGAGAACGAGAGAAATAGATAGAGAGAGAGAGAGAGACACAGAAAAAGAGAGAGAGAGAGAGAGAGACAGAGAGAAAGACAGAGAGAGATAGACAGAGAAAGAGAGAGAGAGAGAGAGAGTGTGTGTGTGAGAGCGAGAGGGACAACGAGCTAGAGTTGGTAAGCACCACGAAGCGATGGGCTGTCCAGTGGCAAGCGTCTTGTGCAACTAGGCTTCGGACCTAGGGCCTGAACATGCCTTGCATCTATCGCAAATCCTGCCCATTACTTGGAGGATCATGGGACTTAGTAAGTAAGGTTATAAGTCCCTGAATTGGGGTTATAAGTATAGTTTCCCTAATTATAACCCTACTTACTAAGTCCCATGATCCTTTAAGTACTGTGAATGACTGTGACACTTACACTGCTGAAGGGTTCGCCGCAGAAGCTTCCCGGACATGAAAGCAAGCAGGCCTGCTGAATGGACCGCCTAGCACTACGCACTTCTGGTGTTCTGAGGAGTCTGCTGCATGTCCAGCTCGGTATACATTCGTTTCACGTGGCTGGTTCGATTCTTGTGTTGGATGTGCGCACTCCATGCTTTGAAAATGTCGTGCTGCGGGGACGGTCGATGGCAGCTGACGTTTGAAAACCCTTTGCATAACTCAGCTTCGGAACGTGTGGCAGCTTGCCCAGCTTTCTGGTCGTGGGCTTTGGACAGTGACTCTGTCTTGGCTGTGCATGTGATTCCAGGTGCATTGAAAAATTTGCATTGACTACAGGACATCACGGGTCTCCACTTAAACGGTGTCAGGTGGAGTACAATGCAGACAGCTTTTGAAGCCTCTCGCCTCCCACCACGCGCATCCACCGCAGGCGGACTAGCAGGAGTCGAGTACTTGTGTGCAGGACCTCCTCGGCATTTGTCATGTCACCTTCCCTACAGATATGCAGACATCCAGGCCGCAGACAGGAGGACTACTTCGTGGAGCGAAGGGGAGGAAACAACCTGCGGCCTCTCGTAGCGCGGTTGCTCCCACACTCTCCTCACTCTTCCTGTCTGGGCCGGTACGGGGGGTTTGCCCGTTTAGCCCTGGTTCCGGGCCAGATTCCCGCCAACGGGACACATGTTCCGGCGACTGCCAGGTTCGTGCGGGAATCTCATCGTCAAGACGGAACTGCCCAGCAGCCATCGTGGCACACCGCTTGTGCTGCTTGTGGCCTCGGTGCCGACCAATCCGAGCAAAGGCTTTGCCAAACCTACCGAAGCCTTAAGCGTGCAACCTTTGCTCATGCCACATGCAGTGTGTGTGTGTGTGACCCATGCAAACCATGCACAAGTTCCGGGCAAGTGCAGGAAACATGATGCAGAAGGAAAAGAGTAATGTGCACCGGCAGGTTCGAAAATTTGGGTGTAGCGTTGAGGGCTTAATATAACGCCTGAATCTCCAGCAGCACTTCGTGCCTGCAACTTCAGGAGGACGACCCGGACTTTGCACAGCTATGGCCCCCACATGCGATGAGCGAGATCCTGCGTTGAAAGTCTCGGCGGGGTCGTGAGTCTACCTCGGCATGTCGTAGGATTCTGGCTGTGCTTCTTCTGCGCTGAAAAGGGCCCTTGGAGTCTTGAAGTACTCGCCATGCTTGCAGGCACTCCAGGCACGCATAGTCCCGCAATCATGCTTGCAGGTTCTCTGTATGAAGACGGCTCGTAGTGACTGCTAAGACAGGGCGGGTTTGCCTCAACACGAAGTTCACTCGAAAGAGCAACTGAGTTCAACCGAGCAGCGAGAAGTCCAATAGGCCAAAGATTCGAGCCACTTGCGTTCTAACCTCTGCGTCCTGCCAGGATCACCGGTCTCTGTGAGCGGCAGAATACTAATTTTAATGCTTATGTGGAAAGATCGCGTGTGGGCGCTAGTCCGCTTCTGGATGCATGTTGCGCATACATAACATGCTAGTCGTTTGCATGGTAAGCATCCGAACGAGTGCATGAATGTAACGGCGTACAACATACTGCGACGATTTGACATGTCGCAAATAACACGCTGATACAATGCAGAGGGAATGCAAAATAGCATATGGCGACGCAAAGTAAAGGTATTGCCAGGCAAGGCCGCGCAGATACACTTTGCAACGTGCTGCAAGGCTGCGAAAGACTGTGCTATGCGAGCTGTTGCCACACTATTCACCGGCAATAGCACCGGCATGCTTGGGAAGTTGCCGTCCCCGGTTGCTGTACCGATGTATTTCTTCTCCCCTTTCAGTCGCCGGATATTTCAAGCATGCCCGGCCTCCGTGTTCAAGAGCTCCTGGCACTGGCGTTCTCAAACAGTGGGGTCGTGTCAAGGCTTTCCGGCTTTGTACCCCAAAGCCAAGTCTCCTCAACTTCTCTAAGCCTTCACAGATCTGTGGGAGGGCAGAGGTTCGGACCCCTGAGCTATGCAGTGGACTTCGGAGGTCTGGGTGCTGGGGGCATCTTGAGCTTTCAAGCTTACCTGTCTCTGGCTTGGGCTCAGGTCGGTTGGGATTTGGGGCCTGGGGAAAGGAGCTACCACTGTAGCCGACTCGAAACATCCGGCAGCCTTTGTTGCAGAAGCCACCCCTTTAGAGCCTGTGCAGAACCAAATTGTATGGAACCCTATAAGAGCCCTTGACATGCAACGGTTCACTAGGTCGAGGCCGTTCTTCTGTCATGCTGCTCATGCTGCTGCCGCTTGCGACAATTAGCCGGAAGGATTTGAAACAGATCTGATCAACCTAATATGACACGAAGCCCTAAAAACACCCTAACTAAAAAGAAAGCTGTCCCCTGATGGAAACCCTTGTAGTACCCTCAAAGGAACCCAGATAGTAAGTCACATCATAACCCTCATAGCAACCCGAATAGTAGCATTTACCCTTCAAGCGACACTTAAGCCTAAACCCGAAACCCCTAAACCCTAAACCCCCAAAGCCCCAAACCCAGCAAGCAGCAAGCAATCTCTCCAGCAGGTCGCTGCAGAGGTCTGCCACGAGGTGTGAAGGCCTTTCTTAGCGGGGTTTAGGGTTTAGGGTTTAAGGGTTCTGGGGTTTAGGGTATGGGAGACCCTAATATAGTACCCTAAAGCCCTAAAATAGTAGGATCCATATTCTAAGGACGCCAAAATAAGGTGGCCGCTTATTGTCGGAAACTCCCCCTTCTCTGTCAGGTTTCAAGGGGAGGTCTAGTTTTTAGTGTATAGGGACTGTCAGGGGAGGATGTCTCAGCGTTTAGGGGCTACAAGGGTGTTCAGGGGCTTGGCGATTCGATTTCTTATGGGATGCTTAGGTGCTACAAAAGCTTGTGGAAGCAGAAAAAAGAAAAGCGTACAACGGATCGAGGGCTTGATTGATCGGGGATTGAAGCATCCCGGCGGATTGGACAGGAAGTTCCTGCTCTTCACCTTCCTTTCAAAGGGTTGCGCATTGAGGGTTTCGCTCGGTTTTTGCGTTGTGCGCGTTCTTATCCGGTTTTGCAGGATCTCCGATTAGAGTTTAGCACTGTGCGGCTTCATCGAGATACGGGATGTAAGTTTCATATAGGATTCTGGGCTTCAGGTTATGGCTTCAGTGGAGCCTTCGGGTTGCGGTTCTCTATCTCTCTCTGATCCATGATTTTTAAAACCTTGGGACCTGGACCCCTTTGTTTGAACCTTGCAACACCCTGTAGGAAAAAACCGCAATGGCTTCTTGGGACTAGGCTCTAAAGCCAAGAAGTCTTTGTCTCCTTAAGAAGCCCTTACCCTTAAAGGTTTAGGGTTTAGGGCCTAGGGTTTATGGTCGAACCTTTGACAACTTAAAGCCCCTGCCTGGAGCTCTCTTTGGGCAGGCGCCGAAGCAGAGCCGCGGCGGTGAAGCCCGCAGCGGTCCTCTGACGAATCTGAGCTTAGCGGGGTTTAGGGTTTAGGGGTTTAGGGTATAGGTTTTCGGGTTTGGGAGTAACCCGGCTTAGAGGATCATGGGACTTAGTAAGTAAGGTTGTAAGTACCTAAATTCGGGTCATAAGTATTCGTACCTTATTCAGAACTCTAGTTACTAAGCCCCAGGACCCTGTAAGTATGCCGCGATGGAAACCTAAAGCTACTGGAATCCAAGGGTCGGTTGACCGAGGGCAGCCTCTTGGAAAGTTTGGTACTAGCCAAAAAAAGTCGCTAGGGTTTAAAGTTTAGGGAACGGTCTTACATCTCAATTAATATCTAGCAGTATAACTATACTTGTGTATATTCACATGTACGTCTCGTAGTACATGGGTAGTTCTCTAAATTAGGGTCACTTTTTGGGTCCCCATTCTAGTACGGCACCCTTATAAAAAGGACCCCAAAAGGGACCCGAATTTAGAGAACTACCCACATGTTGCTGTATCCCCAAAGCCCGTGCGCGGACCTCGGTGGCGCACCGGGTGCCGCGAAGCCCTGGCAGCGTGAGAGATCCAGCTACTGTAGGGGCCTCAATGATGACCTATATTATTTTGGGGCTCCTTAATATAATTTTAGTATAATGGGCCCCTCAATAATTACCTATATTATTTTTGGGGTTCCTT